CCGCTGCAGTGCATCTCCGTGGCGGAAGGACACTCCAAGCCCGTTCTCTGTGTGGATGCCACCGACGAGCTGCTCTTTTCCAGATCCAAAGGTGCGCGCCTCGGGGGCGGGCCGGCTGCTGAGCTCTGGGTGTGATCACTGGGGAGTGAGCCTGTTACCCAGGGGAGGGGCTGAGCCACCCCGAACTGTGGGGACAGGACACGAGCCTCCTGCTCGGACAGCACCAGCCTGCCTGAGAGCCCCAAATGCCACAATGGGCCGGTGCAGTTCTGGGTCCCCCCAGCAGAGGGCAGCAATGCTGCACGAGTCCTTAGGTTGAACAGCTGTGTGGTGACATCCATGAAGCAAGTTGTTGGGGCCTCTGCCCGGTCCCTAGTGGCTGGATGTTCACCTCGCACCTGGCACTAATAGCCCCTCCCCCCGTTGGCAGGTCCGGCGGAGGTGCCAGGGGCTGGATGAGCCACGGGGACTGAGCTCCCCTCTCGCCCCTGGGGCACTCATGGGAGCAGGGGGAGGCAGTGGTGGGGGGGAGAGCCGTGGGGTTCCTCTGCTGAGGACGGGAAGGGCCCTGCAGCATCACATGCTCCCGCCTCCTCCCGCAGATCGGAGCTGTAAAATGTGGAACCTGGTGACGGGCCAGGAAATCGCCTCACTGAAGGGCCACCCCAATAATGTGGTATTCATCAAGTACTGCAGCCACTCGGGGCTGGTGTTCACCGTCTCCACCTCCTTTATCAAGGTGTGGGACATCTGGGACTCAGCCAACTGCGTCCACACCCTCCCGTAGGTACCTGGCGCACTGAGGCTGCCCTGTGGGCCTGGCCAAACTCGACGCGCTGCCCTGCCAGTGTCCTGCACCCAGGGCAGCACTGCAAAGGCCAGGCGGCCAGGCCGGTCTGCAGGGCTGAGTCTAGGAATGCTGCAATGCTGGTCGCTCTAGCCTGGCCTGGCTCGCGGAGGCTCCGTGGCTTGGTGCTCTGCTCTCAGGGAAGTTGCTCCTCTCGTCTGTTTCGGGGGGCACCGTGCACCCTACAGTTGCTTTGATCAGGGATGGGTAATGACCCATCTGCAGCTGCCAGCACCGTTTCCAGACCCCAGCAAATCAGCCCCTCTCTCTGGTGCCCAGCCACAGACTGAGATGTCTCTTTGCCGGCAGTCCCTCCCCAGATCTAAAATCTGACTGGCGGGAATTTGCCTGGGCTGCCTGTCAACATCAACTCCAGGCCAGGGGTGGGGTTTGTGTTGCTCCGCCCCGGGCGTGGAGCTGGCACGCCTGCTGGTATGGGTCTGGCTGGCTGCTCGACAAGGCACCTCCCTTGGGGACGCCCCGAAAGCTGCTGCCTGGGTCACCCTTGCTGTGCCATTGCTCCTGGCTTGAGGGAACGTGGGGCTGAGAGGAGGTCTCATCCTGGCACCACTGGCACTACATGTGGCCAGGAAGTGGTGTTGCTTCACCCTCTATCTAGATGGCTGGGGACAGACACTCTCCAGCCTTCTAATCAGTCCACAATGGACTAGATCTTCCATTCTACACAATGTAAATTATCCCCCCCCCTTCCCTGAGGGTCTCTGCCTTGAGGCTCACCTGTTTCTGTCTCTTTGGCTTAGCTCTTCGGGTCAGGTGATCTCCGGGGACACCTGTGCCAAGACCACCACCCGCACCATCGCCAGCGTGCAGGGTGAGCACCAGATCAACCAGATCGCGCTCAACCCCGCCGGCACCATGCTCTACGCCGCCGCCGGGAACTCCGTCCGCATCTGGGAGCTCAACAGGTCCGGGCGGGGCTAACTCGGGCTCCCAGGCGAGGGCAGCTCTTGTGGGGAGGGAGACGGGTGCTGCGTAGGCAGAGGGAGCAGCCATTCTGGGCTGGGCTGGGGCCTGCTCCCTCCCGCCTGGAAGCTGTGTTATTGAGGCAGGGATGGATTTGGCCTGGGACTATTGGCCTCAGCGCCAAGGCTCTTCAAAGGGACCCCAGAGCCAGAATCCCGGTGGAGGGGGAGCAGGAGGGTGGCCCCCAGCATAGACAGGGTGAAGGGCCACAGCCAGGACTGGCACCGGGGGCAGCTGCCCTGGCACAAACCCCGAGCAGCTTAGTCTGTCTGCGCTAGGGCTTCGCACTACAGCAGCTGCTGGGGCAGGTCCCCGGGGTAGATGATCAGGCCCAAGGATGGGTGAAAGCAGGACCCAGTGCTGCAGCCCTTGGGGTGACTGGATGGTGCACTGAGCCCCTCTGACACTGCTCCTGAACCCAGCTCTCCGCCCCTAGCTCAAGCCCAGGATCGCAGCCCATGGTGCCCAGGGACGGGGTATCCCCAGGGCGCTCCGTGCTTAGTGTCCCAGAGTCGGAGGTCCCAATTCAAGGGGGTGATGGAGAGGGGCCTGGGGCTGGAAGGGTCCCTGCTGGGAGCCTTGGAGACTGGGCCAGTGAAGGGCCTGCAGGAACAAGCGCCTCCTGCTGAGCGCGCCCCAGACTCCGATGGCCCCGGCTCCTGCTTGTAGGTTGCAGCTTATCGGGAAGCTGACCAGCCACATCAGGCCTGTGATGTGTCTCACTGTGAACCAGACCGTGAGCAACCATGACCTGGTCGTCACCAGCTCCAAGGATCATTACGTCAAGGTACCCTGGGACCCTCCCTCCCTCCCGCTCACGGGCAGCAGCACAATAGGCCTTTGAGTCCTGGGCCCGCTGCTTGTGCCAACCCTCCCCACCCCAGTGCATAGCCTGTATGTGCCAGCTACAGGGGCTCGCTGTCCACCAAAGGCCTGGGGAGGAGGGGACGCGCTGGGTGGGGTTGTCCAGAGTGCCCAGCGTCGGCCTAACTCTGCTCCCATGACGGGCGGGAGGGAGCCGTTCTGTTGACCTCAGCGGGAGCAGAGGGAGGCCAGTGCTGAGCACATCTGCAAATGCCACCCAGGGTCTGAGAAATGCCATGAGCCCCCCAGCGCTCGTGGCCTGAAGCCTTAGTGATGGGCCGCTCACCAGCTGTGGAGACCAGAATTCCTGGTGCCCAGCCCAGGCCTCCCCTCCACACCCCCGGCCAATGTGCCTCATGCGAAGGTGGATCCGGCCTCCTCCTGCCCTCTGTGGCCTCTGCTGAACCTGCCGCCCAGGAGGCTATTTTGTCTTTGGCCCCCTGCCAGTCAGGCGCTGAGCTGCGCCCGCACGTCGACCGCCAAACCACTGGAGGAGGTGGAGATTTCCAGTCCCAGCTGAGCCGGGCGAGGTTCGAAACAGCAACCTGTATCTCAGCCCTAGTGCTGAGCCATCATGTCCCCACGTGGCCTCCCCAAGGATCCCGGCCTGGCGTAAGCAGGCAGAACCCCGCCGCTGCCAATCCATCCCTGTCTCATTTGCGGGGAGCAAATACTTGATAATGGGCTCGATCCAATGGTTGGCAGTTGAAGTTAAGACAATCTGCAGAGATCTCCAGGCCAATCACTAAACCCGCCAAGTAACACAGCCCCAGTGTGTATTTTACTCACCTTTATCTTCTCCACAAGCAGGGCTTTGCTGATAAAAGCATTGAGGTTTCTCTCTGGGCTCCTGGCCCAGATGGCTCTGCTGAGGGTGCTGATGCAATCCAAAAACTTCAGTTTCTGGGCCTTGTCCTACACCCCACAGAGATTAGACACAAACAGGAAGGTTAGCGTGGAAAGGAGCTGCTAGTGGGAGAGATATCAGAAAGCTTCCCCCCTAGCGCTGCTCAGGTTTTGATATGCCGAATGGCAGAGGGCCATTCCTCTGGCAACAGGAGTGACTATCTGGGGAGGGCAGGGCAGCTTTGTATGAAACCAGACCAGAGAGGGAGCAGATCTCACGGGGTAGGTGTCCAAAGAGGAACTGCAACATGGGGGCTAAGCAGCCAGACAGTCTTACTGGGGGCTTGATAGAGTGGGAAGAACATCTGGGTGGGACACCCTGACACCCCAATATTCGCCACTGTCATGTCATTAGGATATGTTTTGTACAAAGTACTGTATGTCTTGTAAGGTATCATTCTAAACGTCTTTATCTGCTAGACATTAACGTCTCATTGGATTGTATGTGCTATTGTTGTATGCGAAGTTATGAGTTCAGCTATGTATGTTACTGAAACACATGAGGTTCAAAACAGCCTTTTCAGGTACAACAATTAAAAAATCCACCATGATTTCAACAGCTTCCACCCCACCATCAACCTCAGCCTGGACCAATCTACACGGGAGGTCCACTTCCTGGACACCACAGTACAAATAAGCAATGGCCATGTTAACACCACCCTATACCGAAAACCCACCGACCGCTATGCCTACCTTCATGCCTCCAGCTTCCACCCCGGACACACCACACGATCCATCATCTACAGCCAAGCACTGAGGTACAACCGCATCTGCTCCAACCCCTCAGACAGAGACCAACACCTACAAGATCTTCACCAAGCATTCTCTAAACTACGATACCCACACAAGGAAATAAAGGAACAAATCAACAGAGCTAGACGTGTACCCAGAAGCCTCCTGCTACAAGACAGGCCCAAAAAAGAAACCAACAGAACTCCACTGGCCATCACCTACAGCCCTCAGCTTAAACCTCTCCAACGCATCATCAGTGATCTACAACCCATCCTGGACAATGATCCCTCACTTTCACAGACCTTGGGAGGCAGGCCAGTCCTCGCCCACAGACAACCCGCCAACCTTAAGCATATTCTCACCAGCAACCATGCATCGCACCATAACAACTCTAACTCAGGAACCAACCCATGCAACAAACCTCGATGCTAACTCTGCCCACATATCTACACCAGCAGCACTATCACAGGACCTAACCAGATCAGCTACAACATCACCGGCTCATTCACCTGCACATCCACCAACGTTATATATGCCATCATGTGCCAGCAATGCCCCTCTGCTATGTACATTGGCCAAACTGGACAGTCACTACGCAAGAGGATAAATGGACACAAGTCAGATATCAGGAATGGCAATATACAAAAACCTGTAGGAGAACACTTTAACCTCCCTGGCCACACAATAGCAGATGTTAAGGTAGCCATCTTACAGCAAAAAAACTTCAGGACCAGACTCCAAAGAGAAACTGCTGAGCTCCAGTTCATTTGCAAATTTGACACCATCAGATCAGGATTAAACAAAGACTGTGAATGGCTATCCAACTACAGAAGCAGTTTCTCCTCCCTTGGTGTTCACACTTCAACTGCTAGCAGAGGACCTCACCCTCCCTGATTGAACTAACCTCGTTATCTCCACACTGATTTATACCTGCCTCTGGAGATTTCCATTACTTGCATCTGAAGAAGTGAGGTTCTTACCCACGAAAGCTTATGCTCCCTATACTTC